GTTTGTGGTACAACAAATGCCTTTACCTTAAAATCACCAATAATTAAGTACCAAAGGAACGCAAATACCACTGGCATTAAACCGGAGGCAATAAACAGTTCAAATGTGCTATATTTATCTAAGAAATCCATTATTTTTTTATTAATTTAATTGAATTTATTTACAATTGGAGTCGAGCCGATGTGTGACAATTGGAGTTTCTTGTAGAACGAAATGAACCAACAAAGAGGAAATGTTCATTGAATGGAACTGAAAGAGAACTAGTAATATGTTATTTGTTTTGATTATGATATTTAATGATATTTAATTCAGCATTTTAAAAGATTTTAAACGTAGAAATTATGATTTATGGAACGAAATTAATAATTTTTGGCCTTATTATTTAATACAAACGTTTAAAAAGTTAATAATTTACATGAAAACGAAAAACGTCATTGCTCACTAGTTTCTTTCATGAACCATTAAGTGAATGACAAGATGGACTGTGTTACATCTTTAATGACAGCGGATGGCATTTAAACCGCAATTGAGAATTAAAACCAGAAAAATACATTTTCCATAAAAATCAAAGATTAAATCAACAACTGACTTATATCCCCATGGGCGGGAGTTAATATACCCACTAACAAACATGTTAATTCCTGTTTTAACAAGAATTTTTGTTCATAAATTCTCATTTGAATTCATTGCCATTACCTTATAAGGAATACCGAATACTTTTTTGGAATACCAATTACTCTGCTCTCATAAAAAAATACAACAGGAAAACAAAAACATACCGTGATTGCTCATACAGACAAGAAACAGAGAAAAAAAATACAAATAAAGTCTATCGTCTTTGTCAAGAGAGACACACAAGCAAAAAATAATAGCCATTAAAAATGGTTGGAATTATGGACGACACCTGCATACGTTATCCTCTGGGAACAAGGATAAAAATTGGTGATAATTGTGGAACTGTATGCTATGTGGGCGAGGTAAGTGTAAATCATAACATGAGCTAGACAAAATACTGATAAAACTTGCCCCACCTACACAGGTTTTGGGCTATCAAGGTACCTGGTTGGGCATTGAATGGGATGATCCAAAACGTGGAAAACACAATGGCACCATTGATGGTAAACATTATTTCTATACACAACATCCGACAGCTGGTAGCTTTATACGCCCAGGCAAGGTGGGGCCATTCGAATCGCTGGAAGAGGCAGCTCGTGAACGTTATTTGGGTTATTCGGAAAATGCATTAGATCAGCAATTGTTGCGTGAGGCCCAAGAATCTTTGCAGGCTTCATTTTTTGAGGTAGTCGGCATGGATAAGTTGGCACGTAAACAGAGTAAATTTGAACAGCTTACCGATGTTAGTGTGGATAATTGTCCTGTAAATTCAGCTGGTTACTTGAAGGAGTTTACCATGTTGACCACACTGAATTTGAGTCATACTTTGATATGGAACTGGGAAATTGTGGCAGATATATGTCGTCAAATTCCATCATTGAGAAATCTAAATTTGAGGTAAGATAAAATTTTGTAAATTTACGAGGGTAGGTCAAGAAGTTTGGGAAATATTTGAAAATTATTTTTGAATATATTTTTTATAAATTTTTATAGTTGCAATCGCTTGGTGGTCCCTTCAGATTTGGACATATCAAATTTGGCAACGGCTTTTGACAATCTACGTTTTATAAATTTACGTGAATGTGGTTTTAACAATTGGTCCGATGTTATGCAGACAGCCTTGCTTTGGCCCTATATTGAATCATTAAGTCTACAAGGAAATCCAATCAGTGAACTATCAGTAGTGGATACCACAAAAATATTTAAAAATTTAAAGTAAGTTACCACCAATTTTTTCAATAACGAATTTTTCTCAATAATTTTCCATTCCCATTTTCCCTATAGAGAACTTGATTTACATCGCACCAAACTATGTGATTTCGATCAAGTCTGCAAATTAAGCAATATCAAAACATTGGAATTTTTAAATCTCATGGAAAATGGCATCGAGGTTATTAAGCTGCCCGATTGTGAAAGTGATGCAAAATTATTGGATATATTTCCGTCGTTGGAACATTTGAATATCTTCCACAATCCAATATGGAATGAAACGGATGCGTTTAATGAATTGGATAAGTTACCCAAATTGAAAAGGCTTAACAAGACACCACATTTGAAATCGGATTTCAATGAAATGTTTGTAAATGCCGTGGCAATGATCTCAAATTTACAAGTTTTGAATAAGGCACAAATATCTCCGGAAGAGAGGCGTGGTGCAGAATATGATATTTGGAAGAAATATGCACCCGAATGGTTACAGGCTTCCATGAAACCGGAAACATTAAAGGAGTTCTATAAGAAACATCGTACATATGCCTTGATGTTGAAAAGTGTGTATTTAAATCATTTTTCTTTTATAATCTAAATTAATTGATTTTATTTTTGTCTGTAGAATATGGTTCACCAGCCGAATTTATACCCCGTTCCAATGCCAAGGTCTCCAATCTAATCAAAATCCGTGTTTTACATTCAGAGACTGGAGATGTTTGGGAAAAGAAATTTCCACGCATGATCACCGTACAAACATTGCTTGGTCTCATTATAAAACGTTTTCACATGGATAGTGATACTGCGCCCCAGTTGTGTTATATCGATAACAAACATCCCGATTTGGTGGTGCCCATGGATAATTTGTCAAAAACTTTGGATTTTTATTCTCTGCAAGAAAATGATACAGTTTTGGTGAAATGGCAAAATTCTATGTAGACTGAATGAAAGCGAAATTTAAGCATTCTCAAGATATTTTTTTTATTATACAAATTTGATATATTTTGTTGTATTAATATCGTTTTTTATATTGTCTATTAATCACAAAAGAAATTAGTTTTTAGTTGAAAATTGAATTGTATTATTTTTTTTATTTAACAAAAATTAATAGCATTTTTTATTGATTTTTTTATATAAAAAATTTATTGTACCTTTTTTTCTATTAGATTAGTTTAAAAAATTCACCTTGCCTAATATCAATTAAAAATTATATATGTTATGCAAAAGAAAAATAAATGGTTCATATGTTGCATTGATGAGTTCAACTATTGAAAAGCTGTGATATTTAATTGTTTGGAGAATTAAAGAGAGCGCCTGAAAGTATGCTATATATTTATACTAAAGTTTTGCTAGTAGATGTACTAGTTGCATTGTACAAATTTGTTTTTTATTGTTTGCTACAGAAAATTAAAATGTATATGTTTAACCTTTAATTTAGTGCTTGTTTTCAATATATTTATAATCTAGGATTGCAAAATTGCAATAAATAATTAAAAACTTAAAAAAATCTATATAAAACGACCCAATACATTAATTCTCTGAGACTTGTTATCATTTGCTCATACATGCAAAAGCCAAAAATAGACTTACACATCCCTACTGTCATTTTGCCAATTGGTCAAAAGTCGATCTATTAAACCCTATATATTACATGCTTGGCATGTTTACATCAGTCATTTCTCCGGCAAAATGATTGTGATTTTAAAACATATTACTAATTTATTAAAAACAAATACACAATTCAATAAATATGGCATATATTATTGCCTGCAACAACAAAAACAACAGCAGCGACCATATACACAAGAGAGCAAATGTGAAAATGATGAGCAAAAGGAGCTATCAAAACATTATCGTGGAGGAGAGCAGAGGCTAGGTGAACAAAAATCCTTGAATATTGCAGTTATTGGAGTGCCCAACGCGGGGAAAAGTACTTTTATTAATAATTTAATAAATCATAGGGTATGTTTATTTTATAACATCAAAAACACGTGATAAAAATCTCCACTTATACAATTTAATTACAGGTATGTCCCACATCGTCGAAAGTACATACGACAAGGAAGTCCAATAAGGCCATATATACTACGGGTCAAACTCAATTGGTGTTCTATGACACCCCTGGCTTGGTAACACAAAAAGAAATCAATAAACACAAATTGGAAAAATCATTTAAAAGTTCTTACCGTCATGCCATTCAACATGCTGATATGATAGCCGTTATGCATGATGTCTCCAATACCTGGACGCGTAAACAATTACATCCAACTGTTATAGATAGCCTGAAGGCATATCCTCAATTGCCAAGTGTTTTAATATTAAATAAAATTGATGCATTAAAATCGAAACGTATCACATTGGAGTTGATACGGATACTCACGAATAATACCCTGAGTGGTAGGAAACATAATCGAATTGGTAAGAAATTGACATTGGATGAATCGAAAAAGGATGAAGATGAGAAGCCGGCGGTGGAATTTGGTGATTTGCTGACCAATGAGGGTACATGGAGTAATTTTAGTGATGTCTTTTTGGTATCATCCATAACTGGGAGTGGGCTGAATAAAGTTCACGTTAGTCTAAATGAAAAAAAAAAACATATAAAAACAACAACAAAAACGTATATTAATTATTTTTATAGGATTACTTCTTAAATGCGGCCAAATCCCGCAACTGGGAATTCCCCAGCGACACATTTACAGATGAACCCCCAGAGGAGTTAATTGTGGCTAGTGTTAAGGCCCGTCTTTTGGACTATTTGCCACAGGAGATACCATATAATTTGGAAACATGCATTGAATACTACAATGTCCATAATGGTGAGTATACAATCAAATTAATTTTAAAAGATTATTGAATAAATTTGTTTTGTGTTTTTTTAGACACAATTTATGCTTCGGTGGAAGTGGTTTGTCCCACAAAACGTGTTGAACGTTTAATATGCGGTGAATCCAATGGCAGACTTAGGCAGATTACGGAACGTGTCACCTCGGATTTAGTGGAGACCTTTGGCAAACCAATATCCTTTACGTTAATTAATTTTATAGATTATTGTTTTCAAAATTATAAACCAAAAAAACGAAGAAACGGAAGTATTAAAAATGACTTCATTAAAATGTAAACAAATCGGTTTCACACCACACTGTAATTTAATTAACGACATACAAAGTTTAGCTTGATCGAATTTGGGAACAAGTCTAGTTTAGGGCCCCCTCCCGGATCGTTTTGAAATTTTTACCACATGTAGTCCTTGGGGCCCTGATTACAGCAGTATACTTTTTTTCTTGCGGAAATCGGTATTTCCGGAGATATAGGCTTCCAAAGTTCCGTTGGGAACCTTGTATTTTTTTTCATTTTTTAAAATTCACTAAGGCAATATGGGTATCATTTTAAAACATTTGAAGCCCTGATTACAAAAATATAATATTCATATCAAATAAGTCCATACTGCCTGAGATATAGGTCCTATGGACAGATGGCAAAACCAGCTACGCGACAGAATCTCCTTTTAATTAGAATAGTGTTTGTGGGTAGCCGGCCTTCGGCCGGGGATTTGAGACTTTCTCCTATGGACAGATGCCAACACCGGCTACGCGACAGAATCTCCTTTTAATTAGAATAGTGTTTGTGGGTAGCCGGCCTTCGGCCGGGGATTTGAGACTTTCTCCTATGGACAGATGCCAACACCGGCTACGCGACAGAATCTCCTTTTAATTAGAATAGTTTTTGTGGGTAGCCGGCCTTCGGCCGGGGATTTAAGACTTTCTCCTATGGACAGATGCCAACACCGGCTACGCGACAGAATCTCCTTTTAATTAGAATAGTTTTTGTGAGTAGCCGGCCTTCGGCCGGGAATTTAAGACTTTCTCCTATGGACAGATGGCAACACCGGCTACGCGACAGAATGTATTTAAGCTTTAAAATGATAGCCATATTGCCTTGACCAATATTACACAATAACAACATGGAAGGTACTTACCGAAATTTTGAGACCTATATCTCAGAAGTATGGACTTATTTAATATGAATATTAAATTTTTGTAATCAGGGCTTCAAATGCTGTAAAATGATACCCATATTGCCTTAGTGAATTTTAAAAAATTACGTGAAAATACAAGGGTCCCAACGGAACTTTGTAGGCCCATATCTCCGGAAATACCGATTTCCGCAAGAAAAAAAGTATACTGCTGTAATCAGGGCCCCAAGGACTAAATGTGGTAAAAATTTCAAAACGATCCGGGAGGGGGCCCTAAACTAGACTTAAGCCCGAATTTGTTTTCAATCAGTTATTTTAAGAAGTCTCGGAATTTCCTCTTTTAATATAATAAAAAAATCGAAAATATAATTACACTCAATTGTTTTTTATTTACAATATTTGTTTCTAATTTTATAACAATTTTAAATGCCCAACAATTTTATCAATATTCTCCACGGTGTCTGGTCCAATACCTAAAACAGTTGCTGTACCTGCAGCCAGTTGTGTGCGACCAGCATCCTGGACAAGAGCAGCTGTAACATTTTTCTGCATGGCAGGTGCCGTGAGACATTATACAAGGTTCGTAAAAGTTTCGTCATTGTTGTCTTGTGGTGGTATTTATCAGGTTGTCTAGTATTTGTTGTTATTCTTATTTTACATTTGCATATTTCTTGCTTTGATTATCAACATAATCCTGCATACAGGCCTTAAATTCCTTTACACGATCTTGACAACGGCGCCAATCACCGGTCTCAGCAATACACTCTTGTACTTTATAGTGTAGATTTATGCAACCGGTTTTTTGTAACATTAACTCGACAGGATCTTGATTGGACATTATTTGTTTGGGGGTTTATTTAATAATTTCTTTGTTTTTCTAATTTATTTTGGGCAAATTTTGGTCACATTCGTTGTTCGTAACGTAATCTTACAGCACACTCACATTGTTCTTCTTCTTCTTGATTTGCATCAGGTAAATGGGAATGATAGCACTGCCTAATGGGCGCACTCAAAATGAAATGATAAACAGACTTTCTTTGCAATTATATCAGAGGAAGTAAACAATTTAAATAGGAAATAATTAAAATAATTAATTATTTGTGATATTAGGAGATACATTAAAACATATTTTTCTTTATAAAATTCAAAAGCAGAAACGTCGAGGGTTGTTACTTCATCTCTATAGCCCTATCAATCAGCTGTTCAATTGTGGTTAATGGTTACTTAACAAAAGTACATTTGTAAAAATACATATTTCCGGTCTTATGGAATACAATTGGCGCCAAAATGGGTTTTGAAATATTAAAATGATCCGTTTATTCCAAAAGAATTTGTAGGATATTTTAATTTGAGAAATAAAAGTAATAAAGTCGTATGACAATTGTCAACTTTTAGTTCAGTCAAATGAGAAAAAAATACAATAATTTTTATACATAGGGGTTTTCATGCATGACATAATTCTCATTTCTCAATTTCAAATAACTTCAAAATATTTATAAATGTAAATGCTTTAGCAATTTTGGCCACTGAACACATGATATGCGTATATTTCTAAGGAATATATTTCCATTTAAATTTTGAAAGCTGTCAAAGGCAAATTTATGAAAAATTGGAAACATATGTCTGCATGAGACTACATTGTATAGTTATGTCATGGAAAATACTGTTCAGCTACGTGGAATTTGGAATGAGTATGTATACGTAAACAAATATCAGCTGATTGACTTTATATCAGTTTAATACTAGTCTAAACAGGAAGAATTTAGTACTTTGATACAGAAAGTATGGTCTAAACGCGCCTCAAGAATGAACAATTCTAAACCTAACACTAAAGCTGCAATAGTCTCAGTTCTTGAGGGAATTGCACAGCTCCAATTTTTTAATTTATTTCTGTATTGAGGTAGACAAGATGCTTCACGACGACCAAAAAAAGTTTATACTTGCCTATTATTAAAGGATAAAATTTTCTATTATAACAACTACAGAAATATAAAGTAGTGAAACATCTGAAGTCCCTGAACAATCCCTATTACTACTGTCACCCTGTACTATCAAGTGTTTCTATATTTACTTTTAGAATACATCACAGTAAAAAATATAACATAAAAAACACCACTACAGAGTTGTATTTCTTTCATTCTCTACAGATAATTTTACAGGTGCGTTTAAACCATGCCTTCTAAATGAAATTAAAAAAGTTCCGTTCCAGAACCTAAAAGAATCTACTCCTTTTACATGTTTTGCAAGTTTTTACTCGAAACCCGTTCCTTAACCCACAAAACTGGTAAAACATTGAAATTTGGCCGAGTAAAAATGGTAAACAGGAATGCCTACTTCTGATTGGCAATTTTGGCATATTTACTAGATCTGCGTTCCCGAACTTTTCAAATTGTTTTGTACTCTGAAATGCTTCCCTTTTACTAGATTTACTATTAAAAAAGTACTGGAACAAACTTGCTATTTATTATAGTTCTGTTCCAGAACCTAAAAGAATCTACTATTTTTACCAGATTTGCCACATTTTACTAGAAGCCCGTTCCTGAACCCACAATACTAGTAAATATTTCAACCAAATTTAAGAAAACACAAAACAGGAATTTTGAATTTTATGCCATTTATATGGCATATATTTGACTTATCATAAAAATCGTTCGGTGGAAATGCAACCTTAAAAGTCCACAGGATTGTATTACTTTAATTTTTCCTCTTTATATGCCAAGTTTATATCAACCAACATATATTAATATGCTCTCAAGCAATTAAAAGTCAGCTGTTTTTTCTCAAGTCTAATGTAAACAATTTGGACGTTGTTTACGTTTTTGTAATGAAAGGAATTCACAATAACGGATTTTGACAGTAAACTTGAGAAGCAGCTGATGTTGCAATGTTGCCAATTATGTGAAATATTATAAGGAAAATTTTAACAGAGGATCGAGACAAAAACAAAGGATTTTGTTTTCCTACATCACCTTATTATTGCATCATGAACGTTTCTATGAAAATCTAAGCCCTTAAATAATAACCCTACGTCTACTAAATTCCCTCACAAGCAAAAAATTAAATTACAACAACAATAATTCAGATTTACTTAAATCATCAGATGACGTATGACTATAAGTGCATCAATGTTTTTTTGTTTTTGTATGACTTGACATTTTTAAAGCGTACAATGTCACAACTAATTAATTTTCTGTCCGCTTTTTCGTTTTTTTCCAAATGAGCTGCTCTGATTATAAATTTGAGTGTGTTGTTGTTGTTGCTGATGTGTTCCCAAAAAGATATCAAATGTAGATCTCGCCATAATTGAGGGCAATCTCGATTAAAAAATTGTAAGTAAATTTAATTTAATAATTTGCATTACGTTACGTTTATACAAAGCACTGTGTATGGAACTGTTATCATGTCAAGATATGTTGTGGTGGTAATTGAGAAGGGGGTACGGCGGAATATAAACGAATGTGGGCATGTAATTTGCTTACATTGTAAATAAAATGTTAAGTTTTGCATTTGCTGATAAAATGCGAAAAAATGTAACAATAATGAGAAATTCAATTTAACTTGTGTAAATAAATGTGGAAAAGCATTTTCATGTTGAAAAAAATGGGAGGGAAAGTAAAAATTGATATCACTAAGGTGAAGTTTAAACATATAGGGAAATGATATCTGCAAGCCATGTAAATGTCAAAATAAAAAAGGCAATAAAGTACAGCACATGGCACAATGAATAGGTAGTCCATTTAGCGCAGCTGATGTCTTGATTAACTGTCAAAGTGGGTAATTTCTACTTGAATTCGATGTGCAGTGTTGTCAAACATTTGAAATATTATATGGACAAATTTGACAGATAATCGAGACGGATTTCGTTAACCCAATAGCATGGCACAATAAATAAATGGACTAAGCTCAGCCGATGACTCGATTAACTGTCAAAGTGCGTAATTTCTACATGAATCCATGTGCAATGTTGCCAACCATGTGAAAAATTTGACAGACGGTGGAGACAAAAAAAAATGTTTTTGTTTCGATACATCACCTTATTAGTGCATCATGCCCAATGGGTTTCAATTGTCAATTTCATTTTATACATGTCAAATATATCATCATAGAGTAGGTTAACCCGGTAAAAAAGCTCTAATGTAAATGCCGTTTATAATTGTCATTATGGCACAAGAAATATGTACTCCATTTAGCGCAGCTGACTATCCGATAAACTGTCAAAGTGAATAGTTTCTACATGAATTGGTCGAGCAATGTTGGCAACCACGAGAAATATTAGAAGATAAAATTTAACAGATGGTCGAATAAAAACAGATGTTTTTGTTTTCATACATCACCTTATTATTGCATCATGATTGCCATATTAAAGGAACTAATCAGCTGATAAGGTTGCCAATTGCTTAACGGTATACTTTCTTATACATTTATAAAACGATTCGATTACGAAAATTCTATGATATTATGTATATTTCAAACAGCTGATGATTTTTGATATTTACAGATAAAGAGGAAGACAGTACTGGTCATTTAAATCGAGATATTAGGTATAGTTTAAATGCACTTGGATCTCTAAAATATAATGAAACATATTGTCTTTTCCCGCACAGCAATATTCTACATATTTTTACTATTTTCTTCGATATCATAAAGGAAAAATTGTTATCGTAGTAAAAAAAATTACATTCGTGCAGATTCTGGAACAGATCAAATGTCTTCTCCTAAATTAATTTTTCTACTCCCTACGTTTAATATGATATGATGTAAACGTTGTTATTCATCGTATCTACTTTCCTACGATATCACTATTTTAGTTCTCATTGACCATGAAAATGCTTGTTACGAACCTTCACCTATATATACATCCATACATTCTAAAATATTTATTTCCATATCTTTTGTTATATTCATATTCTCATAAATGTATATTTATTATCACATCTGTATTTCTATATCGTCGTATTAACTGGAGGGTATCGGCTAATACGTTTGATGCAAAATTTTTCTTACCGGCACTTTCGTGGTCAATGAATGACGTAGACACTCAATGTAATCCAATACCTTATGGTTATTTATAAATACTAGATGGATATTATTAATTGATTTTCAATAAAAAAAACTAAATAACAGAGTGACAACAATTAAATAAATAATGAAAATATTATTATAATATTGAAACAGAGATGGGAGTTGTTAATTATTTTGAATGTAAAACTTTATAAATTGAATATCCTAATGAAAAAAGTGCAATTAGTATGAATAATATAAGAAAAATGCAACTCTGTAGTGATGACTTACTATGTCATGCAACATTTTGAGAAAAAATTGTAATCAGATGGTAGCTATGTCCTACCTTGTAATAAAAATGCCATGAAAATCAGCTGATCCTAATAAAAATAAAAAAGAGAATTTGTTTCTATTCGCCATATTAAACGAAATCTACTCATTTCTTGTGCGATCATGTACGTAATTGGGATAATTTCAAATACAACACTGTATACCACTTTGTGTCAAAAAATGGATCACCAAAGGCATTTAATTACCATGGAAATCAGCTGATTGTAATAAAAATAAAAAGTGAACACAACAAATTTCAGAGTATTTACCTCGTTTCATTATACGAAATTAAATCTACTCACTTCAAATACAACACTGTTTTTGTACCAAAAAATTCACATTAGAACTTTTCGCCGGTTTAACCTCCTCTATAAGGATTTATTTGACATATATTTAATGGAATTATAATACGTTTACATTGAACGGGGTTCGTTCACCCAATGGGTTTCAATTGTCAATTCTATTGTATATATGCCAAATGAATCCTCATAGAAAGGTTAACCCGGTAAAAAAATTAATATAAATGCCGTTTTAACAACTTCGATCT